CCCCGGTCGACAATTGTTGATAATCAATTTAGTGGGCCACAACTCATGCTCTCTCTGTCTGTCTATGAGCGACTGTCGCTCTCTCTCTCTCACTGTGTGGCAGTTGACATGGAATTTCTGCAGCAGAAAACAAATCATTTTTGGGGGCAAACTAATTTGCGGCTTAATTTTGTTTTTTTCGAATTCTTGTTTTTTTTTTTAAGTGGTTAGGGGGAGCAGTTGGCTTGCTTGGTTGTCTTGCAACCGCGTGGCGCCTTGGCGCAGTTGTTGCCACTCACTCAGTTGCCACTTTGCACGTGCGAAGGCCACGACGCGCCAGCAGCCACAAGTCTCAGCTCTAGATCGGATGTAGATAAACATATACATATACATATATGGACATATAGTATATATATAATACATATTCTTTTAAAGTTCTGTGGTTCCTCAATTGTAATTTTATCGATTAAATGCAAAAGTTTTCGGCTCCAGCCCAAGCTTAAATTACAACTCCCAATCAAAACCCCAAAACTCGAAGCAAACACATTAAAATGAGTGAAACCGATGCGGTAAGTCTGTACCAATCTATATATCTATATATAGTAAATATACTTAGCTTTTTGCACTTAGCATAAAATTGTAGTTAAATCACGACAGCAACAAAAATCAACTAAAAGCAAGCTCAAGTTATTTTCATTTCATTTATGGCCAAAGACAACAATTTAGTTGGCAATTTCTTTTGCTGTTTAACATAATTCAATATGTGAATAGAAGCGGTTCCGGTTAACGATTTCGCTTTGATTCCTCTGAATATATATGTATATTACAAATTTATAAAACACTTCGAAGGATTTCATTTTATTTCAAAATTCTTTATGAGATGAACAAATATACAGTGCTTATCATAATTATAGCCCACTTTTAATCCACTTAAACGAATCGGCTGAAAATTTTTCCCAAATGGAATATTTCCTCAAAATCTTCAAAAATGAGTAGTTCAATATTTCAATTATGAATGGCAAAAAACTTTTTCACTTAAAATTCACGATTTAATAACGATTTCTTAAAAAGAAGTAAAAAACAAGGAAAAACAGCACCATTTTCTGTATCAAAATTATAGCCCATATTCATATTTTTGTAAAAAAAATCCGAATTCGTTGCGGATTAATGGAAAAACTAATGTTAATACTTAGTCCGGCCTCCATTTGTCTTAGTTAACTCAAAAATTCTCTTCCTCATTGAAACCACTAAATTTAATAAAAGGTCCTTTTCGAAACTTTGTTATTTAGTCATTGTCGTTTAGAATTTGCGTTTTAAGATATCCAACTGTCTCCAACTGGCGATTTTTGGCATACACACGTCTTGCAAGATTACCCCAGACATTTTTAACGGGTTGAGATCCCCAAAACATGCTGGCCAGTCAAGGACATCAACATGACATTCCTCCAAACACTCTTTTGTACGTCTGCTCACATGGATTCTGGCATTATCCTGTTGGAAAACCATTGGTTTCTCACGTAATTCTCTTGAATATGGAATGAGAATACTATCCAGAGCCTGAATATACTCTTCACTGTTCATTCGGTTCGTTACAAACTTCAATTCCCAGGTACCAAATAAAAAAAATGGACCCCAAATCATGACGGAGCCACCTCCAAAGTTTGTCCTTGAAAAAAACATAGGATCCTTCCTCAAATCATGCTAATAAGTATCAAACCCATCAGGACCATCCAGGCTAAACTTCTTCCCATCAGAAAATACGACCTGTTAGGGTAAAAATTTATAAATATACTGTAAGCCAAAAGACGATGATTCAAACGCGCGTATGTCAGATCGGTCGCAGTATGTCCATCGGCAAAACCAAGTCGAGCAACCTTGTGGCGACTTAGCAACATGGATGCTTTGGTCAGTTTAGACCTATTTATGATTCCTGAGCTCTTAAGTACTCGCCAAACAGTCATCGCTGACATAGATTCGGCCACATGTGCGGCCAAAGCTATACAAGCGGCTGGGTTGTTGCTGGCTTTCTTAATAATTTTGCCTTTATCGTGCGCAATTAGTAACGGTTTTCACCCAGTACGTCTTCTTGATCCTTATTCTTCGGGGTTATCCAAAAAAATTTTAATTACACTTTGACTTTTTTTTCAAAATTCGTAAAATACTCGAAATAGACTCTCCTGACTCGAAAAGTGAGAAAATACGGTCCTTTTCATAATAAGATAATTGTTTTCCAAGCGGCATCTCTTAAAAACTATCGAAATTTACTTAATTACAATGTCTGTAAAGCCAAAAGTCTGTTCCGCACTTAATAAATTCAAATTTGCGACAGTGGGCTATAATTATGATACACAAAAATGCAAGCAAAAATGCTAGCACAGAGCAAAAGTTAACGGTTCTTTCTTAGTTTTCCATAAATTGAACTAAAATTTTGATCAAATCTACTGAACATGCTCCAGTCTATAATGTGCTGTAAAATTTATTTTTAAAAAACCTTAAAAATTTTGTTACAACGGGCTCAAAGTTTAAGTTGCAGGGTGGGCTATAATTATGATAAGCACTGTAGTTAAGTACATAATATAATTTTGAATTGATCTACAACATTTTTGAATCTGAATAGAATTATGTTTGCAAGAAATTCATTTATTCTTCTCAAATATGTAATTCCTACACTGAAAATACGAATTTAAAAATTTTAATTTGCGGTTTTATATAGACTCTTCTGAAATTTTATATTTTAAATACCAATTCTCACCTTTTAGGAAAACCAATAATAGGGTCCATTCTTTTTCTTTTTGGAAAATTATTTTACTCGAATTTTAGCTGTTATAAATAAAAAGGACGATCACAGCAAATAAATACGAAATTGTATTTCTACTCAAAAATAGAAAATTAATTTTAAATCAAATTAATATTAAATTTAATATTAAGTTTCTCATTTATTTGCCGTAATATTATACTCTATAAAATTAGCACATATGGTCTGAAGAAAAATGCAAAAAATCTGTCTAATCAGGGTCCATTAACTATTGTTAATTAAAAAATCTTGCTTTCATTCACCTACTCTACATTAATTTTGCAAACCTGAGAATTGAATGGGATTTGCCGAAATCGAGTTGAATTTGGCGCGATTTGGTAGCTGAGAACCGTTTTCGATAGTTCAATAGATATGATTAATATTCGTAGACAATATCGGGCTGACCTTGGGCAACCCGCCTGTAACTGTAAGTGGGGCTGTGGCACGCCACTGAGAGGCCGTGGGGACAGACATGTCGCAACAAATTTGTGTTGGCAACCGAAACCGAGAAGAAACCCTTTTTGGCAAGCCTAAGCGAAACAAAATCAAACAACAATTTGGCCAATGGCGCATTGACTGGAGCGCGGTCTTAGAATTGTCGAACTTTTTTTGGGCTTCATTTTTTGTTGTTGAATCAATAAGCGACAGCCGAACGATTTGGGTCACATTGCAGGCAGCCAGCGCTGGCTCATGACAAATGTGCCATAGAGGTAACCCAAAGCAGCGCCAAATACCAAAACAATAAACTGTAAACAAATGCAAGGAAGGCAGCCATCAAAATCGAGAGCTCCACTCGATACAGGCTATTGAAAGCGCAGACAGATAGACAGACAGACGCCCACCCCCACATGGCCATTAGCACACACGTATGCAAATGATGTGTGTTGCTATTGCTATTGCCATTGCTATTGCTTCTACTCCCGCTCCCGCTCCCGCTCCTGCTCCTGCTCCTGCTCCTGCTCCTGCTCACACTCCTTGCCTGCTGGCAGCAACAGCCAGTTGGGTATTGGATTACACGACACTTGCACATTTCTGCACCAGCACCGCAGGCGTCAGGTTCGCTCCAGCTGAGCTGTCTCCAGTTACACGAAATGTACAAGCCAACCGCTGCAGTCGAGCAGCCGGAGCAAGTTGCTCCCGCCAAGCAGCTGGCCAGCTCCTATGTGGAGCAGCCGAGTCCCGGCTACACAGACACCGAACGCTACATGGGGCCGCGTGTGGTCAATCCCAATTATGCTCAAGTCGACTATAGCCGGCCCAGAGTCAATGAGCGCACCACCAACAGCAACAGCACCACCAACAGCAACAGCACCACCAACAGCAACAGCAACACCAACAACGGCAACAATAGAAACATCAACAACGAGTTTGTACGATCCAATTCCACCTTTGCTTTACCTGCGCAGATGCGTTCCGTTGCTGGCCCGCCGCAGCCACGCCCACCCTTTGCCGGCGCACGGCCCATGGGGCCACGTCCACCGCTGCCGCCCAACATGGCGGGCAGACCGATGCCGCCGCCATTGCGTCCGACGGACAGCAAGAACAATCTGCTGATGGGCCCGCCGCAGCAGCAGCCGCCGCTCAATATGCGCCCGGGCATGCCGCCCGCCCGGCTGCCCAATCCGAGCGGACCTCTGAGCCCGCCCGGAACGCAGGCTGGGCCCAGACCACCGGGTGGCTTTCCATGGTCGGGGCAAGGGCCCATGCAGCGACCGCCACAGAATATGACGCGTCCGCCGCCCACGTTCGCCAGGCCCATGCCCGGGCAGCCGCTGCAGGCGCCCTTTCGACCGCAGCTCTACAACCAGCAGCAGCAACAGCAGCAACAGCAGCAACAGCAGCAGCAGCAGCAACAGCCGCAGCAGATGCAGCAGCTGCCACAACAGATGCAGCCACAGCAGCAGGTGCAGCATCAGCAGCCCCAGCAGCAGCCACGCCCACCTTCGGCCAGCAGCTTACACAACGAGGATGACGATGACGTCATCATGGGTCAGGCCCAGACCCCCATCAAGAGCCAGAGCATGAGGCCCGATCCCATGGGCTCGCCGCTGCTGGAGGAGACGGAGCCACCATTCGATGTCACGCCAACATCGCTGCGCGGTCACAGTAAGAGCTCAACTCAATGTGGGCGTGTCGCCTAATGAAGCCATTTCCCCTCGAAAAAAATTGATAGACTGAAAAACTTGATTTCAATTTCATTAACTGAGTTTCTATTTGGTCTTTGCAGAGGGTGACAATGACAGCGGCGTGGATGAGTCCACTCAGGAGAAGGTGAGTTTCCGGCACGAAAAGCCAAGCAAGCCACGACTACCCAATGCTCGCTCGGAGTAGAAAAAACTGGCAATGTGAGACTAATGTTTCAGTGACTCAGTTCTAAAAGTTTTTTTTGGGGAAATTCAAGTTTTTCCTATTTTTCGAAGCTTTGCATAGGACAGGGAATATTAGCATTATAATCAACCGACCAATATACCATTATATTATTTATATATAGCTATATATTCAATCATTTACTTTTTCCCAACAGTTTTCCAATTTTCTTTTCATTTTGTAGCCAAATCCATAGACTCCCTATCATATAACTTGAGCATGCATCTTAGAAAACGGGTTATTCTTCAGTTTCAGAGCTCTTGGTCTTTTGTAGAGTTTATCAAAATTTTGGTGTGTTGCTCTTAATTGAGAGGAAATTAACTGACTGCAAATTAATTTAATTCCGTTGACCACCAAGCGTGTCTCTCACAGCGCCTACAACTATTGGTACCCTAACCGCTTGATCCGTTACAAATCGGGCATATTGGTGATCGTAAACAAGTCTTGATTGTGTTTCATATTAGACTCGAGAATTGAGGCAGTCTAGCTCAGTCCTTATATTTACCTTAATGTCGATTCTGTAAGCTATAATAACTACAGCATTAAAGGTCCAGTAGTTACTGCTTTAGGACAGGCACAGATCGTACTTTCATACTTATTCCTTCCAAAAAGAAAAATTTGATAAGTTTTATACAAATTTGAGTCGATAAAATTTGAGTTGATAAAAATATATACAAAATTTGTTATATGTACATATATAAAATCTTCCATAACTTCAGCTATAGCCTAGAGTATTCCATATTCACCTACCCACCACTCAAGCTTCATCTTCATCAAAGTGAAACTAATATTTTCTTGTTCTCAATATCGTTATGTTCACAAATCATAAATATCTGTAAATGGCTGCAAATGCCGCCTGCACCGCGACCTCTGTGGCTCTGTGGCTCCGTGGCACGCTCCATTAGTCAGCGCCAGCAGCAGCTGCTGTTCATCCAAAGTTCTCGCTCTGACAGCGCTCAGAGTTCAGATCAAGTTTTAGCTTTACGGACGGCAGTTCGACGCAACGGCATAAGCCAGATTTTGTCTTAAACTATATATCTACTATATATATATAAGTGATATTTACAATATATATTCCTATAGATATAGTTCTTTATATGTGTATATATGTGTGAGTGTGTGTCATTTGTGAGACGCTCCGAAACTTTTACATGTGCGCAGTGTTGAAAGGCACAAAACTTAATACAGTCAAACTACACTAAAGCCAACAGACCTCAGATTTGTGAAGACTTCAACCTCTTTCAAGGTATGGACTGCATATCGCGTAGCTCTATACAGTGATAGTCTATACGATATATAAATATGTGGGCTTCAAAATATAACAATAAACAAAATTGAACTCTTTCTGAAAATATTAGATCTGGTAGGCAAAGAAAGAGAAAGAGAGAGAGGCCTTTGATTGATTGACCTTATACAGTACTTTATATAATAGTATACTAAAGTACATATACTGCATATACGAGTTGTACAATCTTTTTAGTATATATTGTTGTTTAGTATAAGTTATAAATCACTTTACTATATTTTTACTAGCTTTATCTCTTTGCCTTCTGCGCCCACCTTCCTGTAGCCTTGACTCTATTGCATTTCTAATTGGCATTACTTCAGCGATTCACTTTATTATATTCCACTATATATCCCGCAGTAACTGAACACGATTATCATAAACAAATATATAATTATGCATAATTTAGCTATTGAGTTAACATACCAAGTACACCCCTTTAGACCACACCCAAACGAACTCACCTTCTCTAACTTCTCAAGCCCAATCTCAACAAATTGTTTATTAAGACTCTTCACATACCTTATAAAAGAGTGAAGTATAACAAATCTACAAGTCTCTTTTTCCATTTCATAGCATTGTCAATACAAATCAGTTCGTTGTAGCCAACTTTCACTGTACACCAAATTGCCAAATGTAATGCGATTTATGTGTGCCAAGTTGATAAAGTCGAAACACGGCAAGTTTTTTTTTTTTTTTTTTTTTTTTTTTTTTTTTGGTTAGTCATATTCCTACATATTTCGTGATTGGGGCTCGAGTTGGAGCTGGGGGGATTGTCTCTATAAATACCTCGCAAATAAAATATGTTCATTCATATGCAAAGCGCAAAGAGCAAAGTTTTGGCCGTGGAGGCCGCGACAATCGATAAAACAATGGGAATCCTGTCGTGCTGGCCACGGTCCCAGCTGGCTGCGCTCTCTCTATGGAGACTCAGAGTCATAAATGGCATAGAGCCGTATAAACCTAGTTATTGGCGGTCGTAAATATTTGACCGAGAAATTCCGACGTACTGAAGCAAAAGGCTCGACAACATGCATTTGATTGTGCTGGCAGATGCCAGCTATCTGATTGTAAAGCTTTAGCCCATTGTCCAACAGAGTGAGACCTGACTGTACCGACACCGTGCTTTTTCTTGTTCTCTCTCTCCCCCCTCCCGCCACACACAGGATCGCAACGGACCGAATTCGCCCAGTTCACCGGTCAAGACGCCCACATCGAGCTCCTCGAAGCCGGACAAGACGGGCACATCGCGCCCACCGAGTGCCACGCCCTCTAACAAATCGGCATCCAAGTCGCGCAGCGCCTCAAAGAATCGCTTGCTGCTCAAGACCCCTGAGCCGGAGCCACCCAAGAAAGGTTAGTAGTTAGACCGCAATCTATACTAGGGTATAGGCTCAATTGCCATCCAATCTGTCCTCAGTTCCAATGAACAAGATACAGGTCGGTCATGCACCATCGCCCAATCTGAAGGCGGTACGCTCCAAAATCGGCTCGTTGGACAATGCCACCTATAAGCCCGGCGGCGGCAACGTCAAAATCGAGTCGAAGAAAATTGAGATCAAAGCTGGACCACGCATCGAAGCCAAGAATGACAAATATATGCCCAAGGGTGGAGAGAAGAAGGTAAGTCCTAATTGGTCTAAAATTTAGTATGGGTGTCTCTCTGAAAGATTGGTTAAGGTTTTATCTGATGCAAAATATACCCTGTACCTATGACATGTGTGTTAGATATTGGGAAGTATTCCAATGGAGTGTGTTACTATAGCAAAGTGAAATTTATAGAAATATTTAGATATTATATATATTATTATATATTTAGGTAAATCCGTTTCAATCATGTATAAATATCTACTCTACTCTCAATAACTCAGAATCTTGACGACGTAGAAGCCACAAATTTTTTAATGTAGAGTGATTTCTCACTCTACACATTTCAATATCCATCTATAATTGAAGAAGAGAAAAGCTAGTATAAAAACATTTAGTAAATTTTCTTCCAATAAAATAGATGATAATATCTCTGTAACTTAGAGACTGTCTACATATATGAAATCTAGTTGTTTTAATAGATAAGACCTACTCGCCGGATGTATTTTCTTCCACAACAACGTGACTTTTGTAAAGGCTACGCCTTACCTCTATTCAGTTTGCTTACAGCAACTCGCTCTATACACCCACATATACGGACTTGGACTCGGACCCAAGCCTTTAAATTTAGTGTGTGGTGACCTTACTCTAAAAGATAACGCATTTTTTTTTTTAATTGGAGAATAGATTAGATTTACTTAGCTACGTGGAACTCTAAATTGATTCTATGATAAATCAAGGTCATTAAGGTCTCATAATAAAGTTATGTAGTTTTGTACTTCCTCTCGTCTACATTATTGGTAGCAAAAACGAGCCTTTAGCAAGGTACAGGGTATACGCCTAGTCAGTCCACTACGTACAAACGCACTTTTAGTTCTATTCACCGTAGTTGCAATCGGTGGAAGACAACAACAACAAAGCATTAATATGAACATCAACTATTTTGATAGAAATTCAATTTCACGGTCGACTTGCGATTCAAGATATAGTCTGTATATATATTTATATCTAACTGTATATTTGTCATGCAATCATTTCGGTTTCTAGTAGGAAATGCAAATTACGAATAAATCGAGGCACTTAGCAGCATAATTTTCTAGCCATATGTAGAATATCTCTCAATATATAAACGCTATTTACATATACCATATACAACATACCATATACAAACTGAATCTGATAAGTCGAATTTCAAGCTGAGCGCGTGCATTGACATTGACTAAGCAGCAACTGTTTAAATCGAAGTAGTTTTAACTTTTTAACCATATTCTATATATCTATCTGTATCTGTATCGAACCACCAAATCAACACCAAATGCAAAAAAAATAAATAAAACAAAAAAAAAACGACAACAATTTGTAGATAGTTACAACAAAGTTGCAGTGGAACGCCAAGTCAAAGATTGGCTCGCTGGACAATGCGTCCTATAAGCCGGGCGGCGGCGACAAAAAGATCGAGTCGCTCAAGATGGACTTCAAGGACAAGGCCAAGCCGAAGGTCGGCTCCAAGGACAACGTGAAGTATCAGCCCGGCGGAGGCGATATTAAGGTAAGCCGAGAAGCACTTGAAGCAACATTTTCTTTATTTATTCTTTATTTCGATTCGAAATCGGAGTCTTGACTCTGATTGGGACTTTTGTATATTTATGATTTATCTACTCTCCCAAGCAGTTAAGTATTTTAGTTTTTGGTGTCTTAGAAGTTGACTTTAACTGGCATGGTGGCATGTGGGGCATGTTGGGCATGCGGGAAACGGGGCACGGGGCATGGGGGAGCATGTTTATGCAATCTAGTTACTTTTGGCATGCTCTCGACTCGCTCACCAACACATCTATCTATCCAAATATGAAAACTCTATCAAAATCCGCAGAGCTATTCGTACAAGAAATACCCCAACGACATTGTCTTTGGCGAGGGCTCCAAAATAGTTAGCCATCGTTGTTTGATGGACAATGCGCGTCTGGATGACAATTTGTATAATGCAGACGAATAACATTGGGTGTAGCTGGGTACGTAACGCTAAGCACTATCCAAAATCATCATCTAACCCCCACCTGGGTGACTCCATTGTTACTAAAGCTTTGTAACTTTGTAAATCCAATGGCAGTTCCGGTCCTAGTTTTGGAGTTATATAGAAAAAGAAACAGCTTTATGTACACTCAGAGAAAAATCTATTGGTATACTGTTACAATTGGCTTATAATAGACATTTATTGCCTCAATCTGTATGAGCGTGTGTAGGGTCAGGGTTGAATGTTTTTGTTTTAATTTTAAAGAGCTGTCCAAAATATCAGACTAAATATTGAACGCTACGAAGCTTGATTACCCGCGGGCCGCGGCCATAATACTTCAGCAACATATTGCTTACATATGTAATTATCTGGCAATATCTTTAAACATTTTTTCTAGCTATACTTTTTAGCTATACTTCTTAGAATTACTTTCTACCGATACATTTGTTGGTAAGAAAAGAGCTTATACTCTACAATGAAAAATATACATTCTAGGCGTCATACTTGAACTAAAAAATAAATTTGAATACGATATTTCTAAAGGAAATTTTAAAAGCCACAAAATTTAACAACTAAAATATTTTAAACAATTTTTTGGAAATTGGAATACATATTTTCTCTGAGTGGTATTTGTTGTATATAATCAGATATATGAATTTTGTTATTTAATTTATTCAACTGGATTTTGTTTTCACTAACCCATTGAAGTTACAAAAAATTTCTTGAATACAAATCTTTTTTTATTATGTTTAATAATTAACAAATGTTCACAAAAAATACAAAAAATCCAGGATAACAATACGAAGGATGTAAGTAACTTGAAATTATTTTAAATGTATATCAACAAATGTATTATAAAAACCGAGTTTTTCACTAGTTTTGTCTATACATCAATTTTGAATTATTTAGTATTTTCATTTTTAGTATTTTATGTACTTTTGGTATTTGGTATTTTTAGTATTTAAATCACTTGATCACACTTTCTTGAAGAATTCCTTTAGAACACCAATATAGAAAATGTTCTCCCTGTAAATATTGTTCATGTTATTTGATGTATCAAAGAGAAAATTCAAAAATTGCAGTTAACTAAGAACAATAATTGGTCCGAAAATCGAAAATGTATATATTTACAAATGTATATAATGGAATGATTTACTCTATACAATGTAATCGTTGCTAATGAATTTTGTGTGCATTTTTGTTGGTGGCTTTGACACTACATTTCAGATCCAATCGCAAAAAATAGAAATTAAGGCACAAAGCAAAGTTGGATCTTTGGATAATGTTAAGCACAAGCCCGGTGGCGGTGAGAAGAAGATATTCGATGATAAGGATTATTTGAAAAATGTTGAACACTCTGTTGCACTGACAACACCACCAACACAGGTAAAAAGAAAAGCGATCAAAGAATCAAATCATATTAAGAAATCATCGAAGTAGTTTCCAAATAACAATTTGTAGTTCATTTTGGTTATCATTTTTCAGTTTTCTCAAATCTAATTTGTAATTTGCAGTTGATTTCATTTCCAACAATTCATCAATACATCTAGACATCTAGACATCATTACATCAATTTGTGAATGTCATCCCATTTTGTGTTTAGCTCAAGAAATTCATTTTTTAATTGCAATTTTCATTTCATTTTTAAATGGCATACGATCAAGCAATATCTGAGAGAAAAAGCACTGCAAACCTATATATCTAAAACAAAAAAAAAAAAAAAAAAAAAAAAACAGCACTCACTAAGGCTTACGAAACACCCAAAAAATACTACAAAAACTAAAGCTCGAACTAACTTGGATTTCACTTCACCTCTAACAAATTAATCGAATAAGCATCTGATTAGCTCCGATTTGATTTATATATACAACATATAAATACTAAAAGTATTTTCGTAGCACAATCAGTATATCATATATATACATATAGTGGGTGTATTCTTTTCATAATTTGTTATCTGTATATTTTTATTAATATTTTAAGTTAGTTTTTTATAGTTTTGCATTTAAAAATGAATTTCTTTCAAACTCAAAACTGAGATGCATTAACAAAGAAATTGAATATCGTTAACTAAATTTTCTAAAAACAAACAGCAAAACGTTCTTCATATTCATGATATGTATTAAACGAAAGAAGTGTAGATCATTGCAGTCGGGCGTCATCGACTGCAGAATACTCGTTCACGAAGTAAAAGGAAAACAGTTTAGCTTTAATTTAGTAGTAGTTCGCAATGCCTTCAAAATAATTTTTCATTAATCTATAGAGCTGATCACTCAGTTGTTCACTTTGTTCTCAGGCTGTAAGCCTCGAAAACAATATCGTTTATTCCGATGTGCCGCGCCCCATTTGATTTACTATATAGCCCAAAAATTTTTAACTGAAGTATATATATGATTACATAATCCAAATACATCGAGCTTCCATAATTTTAATCATAAGTTAGACTATCAACCGAGTGTTCTTCGCTAATCAGCTAAGCATATGGAAACTGTCCGAAAGCCCATATACACCGTAAGTTCGTGAACGAGTATATAACATCAAGAAGAAGAAAAACGTGCTCGAAGGCGTGTTCAACATTTTTTTCCACACATTCACTTCTCTTTCTTTCTCTCTTTCTCGCCCTCTCGCTCTCGCTCTCACTCGAAATTCGAATTTCGAAATCGAATATCGAAACTCGCGTCTCTTGTTTCATCTGGAATTTGTAGTTTGCGGCGCAGGGTCGCTTGGTTGCGACCATTCATCTAGAATTCGGTCTTTGTAACTCTGACTGTGTGTGTAACGATATATTTGAATCGCTTTTTAAGTAAACTTATTACCAACAACAAATATTTTAGAACAATAATCGAAAACAACACAAGAAATATACTACCTAGCTGTACCTAAAATACGAAAACAGGTTTAAAACTATAAATAACAAAAGTTAGCTCAAATCTTAAACAAAAACAAAAGAAAATCTCGATTGAGTTTGCAAGAGTTTCTATTTTAAATTTTGTATATACCCTATAATACAGTCTATAACACAAAGCAAATTTCGGCTAGCTGAAATTGGTTTATGCTCTTTCCAAAAGATTTTCATTTTTGGCAAGCGTATAATGAATACCAAAGAAAATACCTAACACTCGTAAGAGAAGTTTTGTTAACATAACTTAAGAAATACCAACAAAGAGTATTATTTATGGCAAGAGTCAAGAATCTTTTTTATACTATGTAGAATAGTACAAATGTTTTATTAAACAAAAGATATATATAACGGAGTTACTGAAACCTAGACTATATAGCTATATATGCTCAATCTATATATGTGTGTATTATGTATTATATCTGATGATTGTGAAAGTCTGCCCAGCATTTAAAAATTACAAGCCAAAAATAACAACAAAACGTGCAAAATGCTTTTGCTCTCTCGACTCCCTCATCAAATACACTCAATGAAAAAAATACGAATTTATTTGGGTTCGGCTTTAACTCACATACATAAGATTGAATATTTATATTTTATTATTAATAATATTTATTTAATTTTCATTTCAATTTATTATAGGAATATGTGTATACATTTTATTAGTCTTAGTCATCAAAAAGTGCATTAAATTTAAAAAAAAAAAAAAAAAATTAAAGAAACAGTATACTCGTACAACAGAAATATTACGTCCATTAAATGATGCGATTTTATGCTATAAAAATATACTTTCGTATAACTCTCACGATTAAAGTCCTGTAAGTTATTTGCGTGTCGAGTTGAACAATTTTATATTTTAACAGTGCTGTGATAGATCAAAGATAATATAAACTCCAACATTAAGAGCGTTCCAAGCAATTGAGCAGTTTTCAAAATCGAATGGAATTTTAGCAATGAAAGTAGCTCAAACTATACATATGACAATTAGCAACACCAATAGAACTTAGTGCATTTTCGCATTTTTGAACTCAATAACAAACAAATTTCTATTGCGATATTTCACTTTCAGCGACTCAAACAAAGTTGCTCAAAGCACTCAAATAAATTGATCATAGGAAGCAACCAGAATAGTGCAAGAAGCAGAATGTAATACGAGAAAGCTTTCTTATATATTTACCATAATAAACGAGAGCAACAACAAAGCTCATAAAAATGTGCTAGGAGAGCTTCATTCCTATTGGAAGCGCTTTTGGCTGTGGCGAAAGCTTAGATTTCTCTCTCGTTGATCCGTGATTATTGGCTTAACTTACAACTTCTATTCATTCTAAATATTAGCTTTTTGCAGCTTTTCGTTATAGGCCCAACGCCCTTTCTATTACTCAATAGCCACACGAAAAAAGTCCCGTTTTCGCCATGCGAGCATGCGCATGTAGGAGTGGTGCATAGATAAGTACATCAGCTGCAGCGCTCTGATTTTTACTGCTGTACTAATTACTCACTTCCGTCAATGGCTTAGCGGAAGCTATGAGCGAATTCTGTTCCATATGTTATGCTCTGTTGTGTGACGTCACTCAGCTTGAAGTTTATATTGTCTTTGGATAGACTAATCGTACCAAACCAAACCGTACCATACTGAAACGAAACGAACCGAACCAAAATGAACCTGAATTCGATCCACCCAAGGCCCAACATGTTAAGGTGTCCCGGTGATTCATATGGAAATTGCTTGGTGTGCTCGTTTATCATAATCCTTTGTTTGCCCTTACATTTTATACTGTTCCTTTTTCTTCACCTTGATTTTGTTTCTCTTTGTTTCTTATTAAGTTTTAATTTCATGCGATTATTTAAATGCGTTTATATTTTTATCTTGAACGCAGAGTCCACAACCATCCATGACGGCTTCAACAAGCGGCGCTGATGAAAATTTAAATCAACAAAGCTAAATCCAGTCCAAACAAAAATTTCAAAAACAATGCATGTTGAGCTAAAGTTATTATTTCGTTTAAAACTGAATTTGAAAAAAAAAACTATGCAAACAAAAATTTGACAAAAATTAATTTTAAGCAAGTTACACAAAAAAGAAAATCAAATATATGAAAAATATATATGCAATAATTAATACACTATACGAGAATTTACTATGAAATTTGATAAAAAACGATTGTGCAAGCACACACACACACACCCCCACATCCACTTACTCAGTTGCAGCGTATTAAAACAAAGAAGAAGCAGATAAAGTATATGATTAGTTGATCTATGCACTATTTATCAATTTAGATACCAAGGCAAATGCATAAACTATATAAAACAAAAAGAAATACAGTATATATATATATATATATTTCATATACTGCAAATGAGCACACAATATATATACAAACATATATATATATATATACGATTATTAACTGTGTGCTTTACGTGTAGTTAAAAGTGTTGAAGACAAAACAAAACTAAAATGAAATCATAAACAATAAAGAAACCCCATTTCAATACTTGAACTTCATATTAAATAATATACATATATATATATATATATATATATATATATATATAACAAAATTTTATAATTTGTAACTTAATGATTAGTCAAACAAAAAAATGCATCATTCTCACAATTTATTTACACTTTCCCAGTTTTACGAAAAATGTAAAAAAAAAAAAAATCAAATTTCAAACGTAATAAAAACAAAACTTTTTTCATTAAAAAAAAAAGAGGAAAAAATACATATATATCTGAAAAAGAACTTGGCGTTTTGTTTGCACTTAGTATCTTTCAATTCTGGCAGATAATTTGGATATATATATAGCTATTTACGTATGTATGCAATGCAACGACCACGCCCACGCCGCAAGCGTATCAAATGCTACACAGACACACACGACGCACGTATCAAACCACATTTGGATCGCATTGGTAAAAATGAGAGAAAAAAACTGAAACAAATTGAATTGAAACTCTAAACAAAGTAAATTGTAAGTTTCTATTTTAGTTATTGATGTCTTTTTGAATTAACTTTAGATTTGGCTAATGGCATTTTGCAACACTCTAATAACGTGCTCCTCTTCTCACACAGTATTGGAAAGCGCCGCGCATACAGCGCGCCACAACTTTAACCTCATCCATGTCCTTGCCGGCGGAGTGCCTCGTCCTATCCGTATCGATGCCGTCGCTCAACTCGGAGCCGAAGCGTCCCAAGAGTGCGGGCGCCAAAAAGAGGCCCGGCCAGGCAGTTCATCCAAAGCCCTTCCGTTTATATTGAGGCACAGCACCACCAAGAACACGCTGCACCCCGAGAGATCTCCTCTATATACATATATAAATATAAATTTATATATATATGTGTGTGTGTGGAATTGTTAACGGCACAGTGAAAAAACCAAGAAAAAAACTTAAAAATTTGTTAATTGTTTACAAATCTATAGAAACGTGGCATTTAAATAAATAAATGAAATATTTAATAACTATGCAATGGTTGAGCACACAAAATCCAACAGTTTTTTTCTGATTTTATTATAATTACAGCATTTTGTATATATATACTATATATATATATATATTTATATGTAACGATTTCTCGTAAGTAGATTGATCTTTGCTTTAAATTTACATGAGTTTTCGTTAGTTTGTTTCTCTTTAATATATATATTTATATAATTGTTATAAAAAATTGTTGCTCGCCCGTTGCTATTCGAGTTGCTTACAAAAAGTGTGTGCTTTGTTTTTTTGATTCGAGTCAAGTCACATTTAAATGCAGTTTTTGCCTTTTCCATTTACACATTTTCGCTATCCTTTGTTTTTTTTTGTTTTTTTGTTTTTGTTTTTACATTGCATTATTAAAAGTAGGGACAATAAATAAGTTATTATAAATTAAAATAAACAACAGTTATTACAAGTTTCAAAAGAGCATCAATTAATTAAGATTATTACAAATAGTAGAAAAAATGCTTTTGTTTTAAGCTAAAATATCGTATAAACGCGTTTTTTTCTTTTTCTCTTTTTCATTTCTTATTTTTTGTTTCATTTCCACGTATTTGTTTCTCTAAGAGCTCATCGTCAAGTATTTTGGTTATTGTTGAAAACTAGGAAACGCCGGGCTACTTTATAATTATAATACATTCCATAATAAACAAACAAAGTAGGAATTCCTTAAATATTCTCTGATATGCGAAACCAAAGTTTCCTTTACGTTTATGTTTATGTTTAGTTCAAGTCGTTATAATTTGTTGCTGCTGCTGTTATTTAATACATTCGATTCGATTCGATTCAATTGACTAGATTTCAATATGGATTATATATGGTTTAACTGCTGCTTTCATTCTGTTACACTTTAGTTCTAATAAGGAGGGATTTCTTGTTATTTGTTTTTCATTTTGTTCTTTTTGTGCCATGCGATTTTCAAATGGATGATCTAACTCAAATTTTCAACTTAAACAGAATCAAAACTATTTGCTTATGTTAAAGGAAATGATAATGCTCAATGAATCAAGTTTCTTCTCTCTTTCTTGTTCGTCAGCTGATTGTTGATTTGTTCACGCCTAGTTAGAGATGAGGGTCGCTTCATGTTGTTATTCTCAGGTTCTCCGTCTCTCTGTCTCACTGTTTACGCTTCTCCTCTGCTGAGTATTCTCCGCAGTCGGTTTCCTCGTTGCTTATTTACATAACTAAACACTTTCGCTGGCGTCGCTTTAATGGCTCTGGCCTCAGCACCGCGCGCACCGCCTCCTCGAACACCTGGGTAAATGGAATGGAAATCGCCATCATCATCTGTCGATGACATTTGCCGCCGAGGTGTGTCCGCACTTACCTGCTTGAGGCCGCGCTGCGTTAAGGCGGAGCATTCCATATATTTAACAGCGCGTATTTTATTTGCCAGCTTCTGACCTTGTTCGCGCTTAAGCGGCGTCAAACCCTGCTCGGCCAGCCCGCTCAACGTTTCGCGATCGTCACGCAAATCGATTTTTGTGCCTGCGCAAAATTGAAAAAGCAATTTATGACAGAAGTAAGAGGTGATAGAGTCGATAGCTACTCACCCACTAAGATGATGGGCGCATCGGGACAATGGTGTTTGATCTCCGGATACCATTTGGAGGTGACGTTTTCGAACGATGAGGGACTCGCAACGCTGTAGCATATCAGGAATACATCTGTCTGTGGATAGGAGAGCGGCCTCAGGCGATCGTAATCCTCCTGGCCGGCGGTATCCCATAGACCCAGCGACACTTGTATTGTGTCCACTTGCATGGGTGCAGAGTAGTTATCGAAGCTGCAGAAGAGAGTATCGATTATAATTAGCAATGATCAGTTTGTACTCGAGGGTTACACTTACACTGTAGGCACATATTCACCGGGAAAACTGTCTGTGGTGTAGGAGATTAGCATGCAAGTCTTTCCGACGGTACCGTCACCAACGACGACACATTTTATGGGTCTTCCGGTTGACATCGTCGAGTCGTGACTGTATTTGCTGAAAGAGCGAAATGTGAATGTGAATGTGATAGTGATTGTGAGCGTTCTTTTCTTTTCTTCTTTTGTCTCGTAAGAATATCTCGCTTTGGATGAATGCGTGCGCATTTAATTCAATTAATTAAGCTGTACTTGAGGCAATAAACTCGATATACCCAACTCTCTATATCTCATCTGACAGTGCAAGATATATATAGATGTATGTATACATCTGCACACACACT